ACTATAGTCTAATGTTTAGAATGTCAAAATATGTTCTCCTTTATTTTAATTTTGAAAGTTTTACTCAGACGTTCGATGAAATACAACAGTGTAGTGACGTGCCTAGTAACCTGCTAAATAACGAGATAATTCGTCAAGTTCTATTTTGTCCAGCGACAGTGCACAAACGTGCGCCGGTGACGATCACGGTGACCAGCTATACCAGCACGGACATATTTCGCATCTAACTCAATCCCATGCAGCAAAAATTGATACTATGTGTTCATTATGGTCCATTCCTCCTCGACGAACAAGTACATAAGTGAAAATTTAGTCAAAGACGAGAAAACTGCACAAGAAATTTGCCTTATTTACACGTATCGGCAATGCAAGCTGCCATGCGACTTCCCCTTCTGACGTCACAAGGGTAATTTCCGTATGCAAATGAGAAGCTAATGAGGAGCCTCGTTTTAAAATACACAAAATAAAGTTGCCGTAGATTGAGTTTAAAACACATTTTTTCACTTAAAAAAAATAATTCATGCTTAGAAACATGAAAATTAATAATATTTATGTATCAATGGATAATTTTAGGCGTGAAAATAGCAGCCATTTCACAGGCACTTTAAATCTATAATCATCTAAACATTGGTTCAATTATCTTGAATTATCAGTTCGGAGGGCATTATGTTAGTCTGATAAACTGTAGACTATCAATGAGATAGTGTAGAAACATTGGACAGCATCCCGCTTAAGAACAAGCAGCATTTTGGTTGAGATGTACATTTCAATTAGAGGAATTACCTGCGAGGAATGCAGTAGATGATGGTTGGATTGGAATATTCAGATAAGCGTAAGACTTGTAAATCTATCAATGATTACACAATCATATGGCATTACACTTTGATAAATGGTTGTTCCCTATAAGGTGGCTTGTTTATTATTAAGTGTTAGTAATTTTACTTTATGACAAACTATAAAATGATCCAAGACTAGGCTATCCTATCATGAATACATGCACCTTTGGAATCTCAGTTGGTATGGTATGAAACAATTAAGATATATTAAGTCACTGACTTTACATAGAGATTGTGCACTAACCACAATGCTTGATATGATGTAATGTATTAATAAAATACAAGACATTGATTGTATGAGCTGAAGCCATTTATTGGCCTAATGCAGCCATATTGGTAAGCTTTAGAAAAAATATAATTGGTTGATGTCACATCAGCAGACTCACCTTTCAATCCAGGCTGAACCAATGATTGCATATTAATATTACAACATTTTCCTAATATAGATACAGCTGCTGGTTCCAATCCAAGTTTTCTTGCTCTTTCTGCTAATGTTGATTTACTACCAGTTTTGAATGGTGCATACTTCGAAACAAATCAGAATTATGTATAGTCAACAAGCTGACCTAGATTTATTATGCTTGTATCATTAGTGACTGTTAATCTGACATTTTGATGTACACTACATGTATTTACCATGACATTATGACATATCCCACTGTTACCATGACACTATGACATCCTACTGTTACCATGACACTATGACATATTCTACTGTTACCCTGACACAATGACATATTCTACTGTTACCATGACACAATGACATATCCTACTGTTACCATGACACTATGACATATCCTACTGTTACAATGACACTATGACATATCCTGCTGTTACCCTGACACAATGAAATATCCTACTGTTACCCTGACACAATGACATGTCCTACTGTTACCCTGACACAATGACATATTCTACTGTTACCCTGACACAATGACATATTCTACTGTTACCCTGACACAATGACATATTCTACTGTTACCCTGACACAATGACATGTCCTACTGTTACCTTGACACAATGACATGTCCTACTGTTACCCTGACACAATGACATATTCTACTGTTACCCTGACACAATGACATATCCTACTGTTACCCTGACACAATGACATATTCTACTGTTACCCTGACACAGTGACATATCCTACTGTTACCCTGACACAATGACATATCCTAATGTTACCCTGACACAATGACATATCCTACTGTTACCCTGACACAATGACATATCCAACTGTTACC